CATTTCAGCAGTGATATTGTATGAGTGGAACTATACCTTTCTGTTTATCATCATAATGTTTTGAAATTGCTTGGCAAAATCCTACCTGTTATAGCTGGGTCTTTTTTAAGTAGCAAGTTCTATCATTATAAAAGCTTGCATATTCAGGTGATTGAAAAATGACCTATTCTTACTTATCACAAGGCGTTTCTGCATGCCTAATTGAGACTTTGTCTTTGTTTCTCATGTCAAGAAATTACGTACATTTTTCTCCCAGTTTAATAGCATTTATTCTGTAAAAGCTGAGGTCATGTGTTTGCTGGAATTCATAGTGAGGAAACACTGGGTGAAACACACAAACCAGTCTATAAATGAAATAAATTTTGTGCCTTAATTAATTTTGTGCATTATTATTGCTAATGTTTGTATTATATTTAATTTGTGTTGAGAAGGAAACATTCCAGCTCAGAATGTATTCCAGCAACACTACCTATAAGTACATAAGGCAGCTGTCTCTCTTTCTGCTTCAAGAACTATCAACTATGTTTTGAAGCAACTTCCAGAATCCCAAAAATATATGTGCTTGTCTAATATTTTGCCCTCTTGGCATCAACCATAATCTTCTGTGAGAAGTAACATGAATAACAGCTTTAAGTAACCTCAGTATTCCACTTCAGCTGGGGTTTTTTCTTTTATTTTTAAACATTATTTTTTCACCATGGGGTCACGATAAAAACTTCGCTTTTTTGGGAGTATGTTCTTAGGCACTTTCTCTGAGTTATTAAATTTATGAACAGCGCCTCCACCATGTCTCTGCAGATGCTTGTTGTGATGTATCAGGTATTTTAAAATGCTTTTGTACCTGCAGAGTCACATGACAGGATTTTAGCCCTTCTAAAGTAAATGGCTTCTGATAGATACACACTCATACACTTCAAATTAACAACTTTTGAAACTTAAAACAGCTTAACTGACTGAACTGTTCGCTGATTTTTCTGTAACTTCCTAACGTGTTTTTCTTCTACTATCTTAATTTTTGTTTTTAATCTCCTGATACTTTAACAAATATTAGTGTTATTTAGTATTGTTAAAGTACTAAAATGTTATATCCTACAGATATTTTCAATACAAAATCTTTTAAAAGCTCACTTATTCTACTGCAGCATTTTTTAAACCTGTTGTTTTTTCCTAGTTTCCCTCAACTAAGGCTTAGACTAAGTTTTGATGATATTTTGTTTAAATATCCATCCACATGTTCTTCACAGTGTGGTTGTGTTTTCTATTCTATGTTCTAACCAGCATGTTTTCCCTTGTCAATACTTCCCTTTATGGTTTACCTCTTATAAAGAGAGTCACAACTTTCTGCTCATTTTCAAGATTTTGTATGACCCTCTTGTGCCTACCAATGCATCAGGTATCATCTCTCTTCATAGCTACCCTCACTCATTGTGGTAGATTTTCTAAGTTTCAGTTGCACTTAAGAACATCTCCATTTTACTGGCTTTTATTTTCCCCAAGCTACGTGGTAATGTTTTAGAGATTTCCACTTCATGTTCCTCAAGCTCCTTCAGGTATGTTACTCCAAGGAGCTTGCTTGGTCCGTGGCAGGAGCAGGCTTTATAGACTGTATATATTATTTTAATCCACTGCTCCACAAAGTCGGTAGAAGGCTGCTGCCTTTCAGCCTCAAAGGTGGCCTGGCAGAGTCAGGAAAAGCCCATGTGTGTTAGGACCTCAAAGGATGCATCATATTTTCCTGCCAGCCAGATGTCACACAAATAGGCTGGTTTTATACCTCACAGTGCCTTGTGCTGTTCCTAGACATTGTTCTGCTCATCACCATAGCCATGCTCTTGCCAGGTCAAAAGTATCAAAGTGACAGTGACACATAGTGAATGACTTCAATTGCCTTGCAATACCTGAAGTGTATAAGAAAGGTGGGGGCAGACTTTAGCTGAGCCTGTTGAGCTAGGACAAGGGATAGAACTGAAGGAGGTATTAAACGGAAGGAGGGTAAATTTAGATTAAATATGAGCATGAGGGTTTTTTTACAATGAGGGTGATGAAACACAGGAACAGGTTGCCCATAGAGTTGGTGGATGCTCCATCCCTGAAAACGTTCAAGTCCAGGTTGGTTAGGAATCTGAGAAACCTGGTCTGGTTGAAGATGTCCCTGCTCCTTGCAGGAGGGTTGGACTAGATGGCCTTTAAAGGTCCCTTCCAATCCAAACCATTGTATGGTCCGATGACCTTAATTGCTTTGGCTGTTGTTTACCTGGGGAGTTTGTACTTGTAGGATAGATTGCCTTCTCACATAAATGTTTCTAACACAATCCACAGCATATCCCATATACCATAGACTGGATGGATGATAGATAGATAGATAGATAGATATAGGTATGTATACTCAGTCTATATCCCTTCATCTGTGGTGGTGGGCTCCTCTGACCAGCTGTGCTATCCATGGCGGGAGGGAGTCAAATCTGATCTTTGATCTCCAAAGGAAGATCTCCAGAAATTAAATAGGAATGTGACCTAAATAGATACTTTTGTCCGTCTTCCTACAAACATGTACTTCTATTCATTGCCGAGTTCTATAGGAGTTCAATGGTAGATCTTTTATTCATCCATTTAGATGGAATTCACTGTAGAAGGGTTTTTTTTTTCATTTCTCCTGCAGGTTTCTTCTGCAGTTATTTTTCCATGATCTCTTTCAGTGAGTATTGAGCAGAGATAGCATTGCTAAGCCATTACTTTGGCCAAGTTACTACAGTTTTAGAGCTGTGTTAGTTAACGTGGCCTGTGTTGTCCTATCAGTTTTTAAACGGAAGATCCCACTGAGGTTGGTGTGAACTTTTACCTCAGTTTCAATATCAGGATGTGGCTCCTTGTACAGGGGAGTCCTCCCTGCCTAGTTACCAATTGTACACAGCTCTCCTCCCTTTCCTTGAAGATAAATCTCCTTATCTGGTTCCTTTTTCTTGACAATAATATTGTAGAGAGAAGAAAAAGAATAAAAGTACTCCTTGGATAAAAATGTTGGCTATTAATTATCACTATTGTGCAGTTACATTCTTGTGTAATTCTTGTCCCCTTGGAGCCTTATTGTACAGATATGTGAGGCTAAGCATTTCCTCCCCCATAAAACGGACATTACAGGTTTTCATCTCATTCCCCTGCATAAAGTTGTCACTAAAATGAAAAATTAACAAAACAAAATTCCACTGCTTCCTGAATTCCCAGAATTTCTTCGCAGAATTAGAATATTGCTAACAATTAGACAGAACACCGCAAGTTCCACACTACCTAGAGGAGAAAGTAAAGAAGCTTTACAGAGGTCACATTGATATGCTGCTTTATGGGTTTCTGTATGTATAAGCTACATAACTTGCACTGTAATTAACTTACCATGATATTATTTGTTGGACACAATCTTCTCATGCATATTTTAGTTTCATAAACTTATGGTGAAAGAAGGAAATGGTGTGCATCAGCTTTGTAAAAGATCCTACATCTTATCCTGTTTACATTATAAACTGAAATGATAGGAGAAATATCCTATAGTGGAATACTGTCTGAGATATAGTTTTAGCTTCAGTGTTTGAAAGTGGAGAAGTGGTAGAAATGGAAAGGCTCTTGAAGGGACCACTTCTTTTTAAAATTGAAGTCAGACTACATTCTAATCAATTTAAAACCTTACTTGAAGATGTATGAGCTAGTAGCTTTGGAATGCCTACTTTCTCAAGTTTATACTGGGAATTGGAGATCATTAATGAAATTCCTAAATTAATTTCTAGAAATCTGGGTACTTTAAAAAATCATGATTGTCAGGGCACCTCAGTTCACCTTTACTGGGTAAATAAATATGTGTAATTGATTCTGAGTAAGGCATTTGAATTTGACCAAAGACGTAACTCATGCTGAAGCAATACATGAGTCTGAGTAATTTTAAATGTTTCAAAATTTTAATATTTCAAATTCTTAAATAAACAAAATGTAAGTTCTTTAACTGTGTGCCGTCTCTAAGAATATGCAATATAACATGCAAGGCTCTTTTTTTTTTTTAATTATGCAATGCAGAACTGTTACATATTCTTTGCTGATTACATTGAAAATTATTTCACATTTCTTGTTGTTATAATGGAAATTGGATTGCTTCCTCAAAGTAATTTTTTAAATTGTGTTCCAAGGTGACTCATGAAGAAAAGGGGGAGTGGGGGGAATGACTGTTCTAAGTTGTTCTGAAATGTTATTTGAAGGCTTTATGACTATATTGTACATTAATCAGATATAAAATTAAAGCCCCAAAGCATCAGAACTTGGTCTGTGATTTGGTCTCTGAATGCAAAAGGCAGATCCTTGCACTGAGTTCAGAAGGAAAGCTCACAAGTCAAGGATATATTCAAAACACTCAAAGCTCCAGTGCCTGTTCAGGAGAGAGAGAGAGAGAGAGAGAGAGAGAGAGAGAGAAAGAAAAAAAGAAAAAAAAAAAGAGACACTAAAGTGTTTTGAAAAGCCCAGCCAGAACTGCAGAGGAAGCAGCACAGGGCTGGTTCTTAGGATCCAGTGAGCATAAGGCCTTCTGCTATATTTAGTTCCCTTTCCCTGCCTTCCCCTCCCCCTTCACTGCCTATATTTGAATTTGAGTTGTAGAGTAAGTTGTCTTTCATTTAAAATAACTCTTTTTTTGGTCAATTTTTTATGGCACCCTAAATTTACAAGAGAAATCACTTTTCAATTAACATTGTAGTTAAATATAATTATGCTTAATTAGTGCTGAGTTACCTCTTCTTTTCCAAAGGATACAGCCTTTATATGATGGCATGTGATTAATAATTATTGTTTGTGCTTTTTCTTGCACCTTAATATAACATTGAAGGAATTGTTAGGAATAGGCAATTCTTATTATTAGAAATAAACGCCTTGTCTTGCCATCTGGATCTTTGGTCTTGTCTTCTATAGAGAAGTAGAGGATGAGAATAGCACTGAATGTTATAATTGCTTAATGTCTGTATTTTCAGGGCTTGCTGGAGGGTCCCCAAGGTCCACCTGGCAAAGAAGGTCAGAGGGTGAGTAAACTTGGTGAACAACTGGTGAGTGTGCTAACAGCTTGTGTGTGACTTCTGCCTAAGCACTAATAAAAAATGGTAAGGTAGCAGCTGAGTATGAAGCGTGCTGACAACAAACTGAGCCTTGACACTTGAGGTTTCTCTTCAGTTGAAGGAGATTTAACAATTTCAACCATCTAAAGTGTTTTAATGACTGGCAGAACAGATGTATTGTATTGTGTTTTTTGCAGTATAACCGAAATTATAGTAAAACTTTTCAGTTTTCCTTTTTTGACAGGGGTGAACTATACTTTGCAATATCTAAGATATATAAGTATATGAATTTAGAGTCATTATCTAAAATATTAGCAGAAACCAGTAATACTGATCCAGTTCTTTTAATGCCATTATGCAAGTGTCAGCACCCAACATACGTGTACAAAAGATATGATACAGTAAAGGGGACTGCAGGGCACTGGAGGGGGAGGTGCAGAATATGCCAAATACATTAAATAAACCTTTGGTTATTTAGAATTCTAATATGATTAAGTAATGGACTGACTGGTTTCTCCATGCTCTGTTTTTATTTTCCCTGACTTATTGAATTTGATAATTCATTACGGCAGACAACAAATATTTATGATTGTGGTATCACAAGAATTGACTATTGCAAATTTATAATCTAGTATATTCCTAAAAGTTTGGGGAGATATTAAGACTCAAGCATTTCAGTATTTTTACAAATTAAGTGTGTGCCCAGTTTGCAGTTTTGAAGTTGGGTCTCAATAATTCTTGGTTTATTTAGGCATCTAGATATTCAATATCACAGTTAAAATATCTGAAGTAAAGAGATTAAGTGTTTCTCATCATTGATCTTAGTAACTACAGTGAGTTTTTAAAGGCTAATTGAATGATTCCAATAATAGTAATAAAACTAACAGAAGACTAACTCTTGAACAAAATGAGTAATGACACATAGGCCCCAAAGCTATGTTTTATGTTGGTTGTTAAGTTTTAAAAATAGTACTAAATTCCATTTAAGCTGAAAGCGAAGACATGAAAGCTTAGTTTATTTATGTTTCTCACTAAGGTTTGAGAATCTGATCAGAAAAACTCAGTGTAGTAATGCAGAATTCAAAGTAGTGTGATGGAAATGTTATTAAAGCATATTTGCTAGCATATTAACATCCTTATTAAGAATTTTATAATTATTATTGCTATTACAGTTAGCAATTAAATATATAGGATACTGAGAAAAGATAGTTGAATCCTCTTTTAGCATATTTATGAGTTGTTCTGTGGAGTACTGAATCTGCAGAAAGACTGATTCTTCTTTAGGAGCAGTTATAAAGATTCTTGTGTTTAGAAACTTCACCCTTGGAACTTCTTAATTTTTTATGCAAAATTTCAGAGTTAACATACTTTATTGTATTTAATGGTGGATAAATTGATTTGGAAAAACCTTTTTTTTTTTTTTTTCCCCACTTTGCAGTACGAATTAGTGGGTTGATACTTTCATCATGGACATTTTCCTACTCACACATAAAATCGAGCTGCTGTCACACTCCAGCCCCTATAAAAATGGGAGCACTGATGGTTTTGTAATCTCTCCGTGCACACAGCTGCCTTGAGCCAAACAATGGGAATAGAACAGCAGACTGTGGAGTCTCAGCATCTGTCTTTATCTTTCTACCAGTGAGATGGTCTCAACAATACTCCTGCTGGCCACTCCTGCCCAAGCATTAACAACATTGTTGGCAGGCTTAATTCAACTCCCATGTGCTTTTGCATTTCCAATACATTTAATTACACAATAACATACCATTTGTAACAAGATCTCTGCTCTGTTTAATGACAAACAGGACAGTGCACATCTAATGGCTATTAAATGCTCCTTTTTATTCAATTATAGATGTCATGTTCCTCTGTTCTACTCTCAGCAGATCCTCCAAATCTTTCACATTATATGAAGTTATTGCTTTTCTCATGGGCTGTCCTTTGAAGATTAAAGCATATTATTGAGTGTGTAACTAGCTAATATTTTTTTCTCCAACATATTATTCAAACCTAAAAGCAATATTGTGTCCATTATGAAGAATAGAACTGCAACATATTAGGGACAAACAAGCCACTCCAGAAACACTTGAAAGTCAATTTGCATGCCACACTTTGAGAACATGAACTTTTATTTTAAGTTGCCATTCGTACAGTACTTGCTATATTCAAAATTTTATCCACCTGCATCTGGAGCATTTTTAAGTGTTCAACTCCTTTGAAAATTGGTCTTAGATTAATAAGGAGTTGAGAGGACAATCATATAGTGTGTAACTTACAGACCTTGGAATACACACTGAAGCAAGGAGAATTAACAATGTTAATGGTGACATTGAAGAAACATATAGAAGGCTCAAGTTAGAGTTAGTGACAGGTAAATGGCAATAGAATTAGTAGAAAAGCAAGGAAAACAGTGCATTTTCATTTTCAGAGTGTTTTAAGTGAGGTTTTATTATATCAACCAAGATAAGAGTTTAATATTAGAACTACTAAGAAATACCAAAGGTGCCCTGTCCCAGAGTGGGCACCCATCTCCCCGCATTCGCTAAAGAGGGAACTAGGAAAATTGTACCCTAGTGAGAGGAATAAGTCTGAATAGTAGTATTTCTTTCACCTCACAGGAATAACTGGCACAAAAAAATCACATCATAAAAATAAATACAATAATTATTATAGAAATAGAGTAAATGTTGCTATTATTATAATAAACATAACAATAACTGTAGTTTTTGAGTTCGAAGTTATGTCAACCTTAAAATGCTTATTGACATCGAATTGGCTTAAAAATGCAAATTTGCATCATTATTTTTAATTAGATTATGTTGGTGGTTTATTTATTTCAAGTGTAAAGGGGAATCAATACATTTTTTCAAATAAGGTGGTAACAGCTTTTTTCTGATAGATGCACTGTAGACAGAGTTACTGGTGTCATTTGAGCCCATGCATAATTATTAAAACACTGAATATGTCATTTTATTTGTCTTTGATATATTATACTGTATATATAATATAGTAATATAGTATATTACTACTGTATGGTCATACTGGGTTATCATCTTACTCACACATCAAAGAGCAGTTTAGGTTCTTACTTGTTTAGATGATGGTCAGCAATGGAAATTGATGACAGAAGTGTGTGAAATATCTTCCATCTTAGTTGGTCTTGCTGGATGCTTTCCAGATATCCTAAAGAATAAAAGGATTTGCAGAAAGCAGCACTAATGTGATATGTTTACAGAAACATAGTGTGGAGAGATCATTCAGAAGGAGAGAGAAAACCTGAAAATTCTAGTTTTGTGCGACATTAAAGGACTCTGTATCAGGATGACCAGGTTCTATTTTTTGGCTTTATTTAACAGAAAATTGAAAATTTGCTACAAGATTTCAAGTAATGAAGTCATGGAGAACAATGAATGTGAGGATAAATAAAATTTGGATTAATAATCATATTACTTCTCTTATATTACTCTAGTAGCAAAATGCATAAATATTTATTTTGTGAATAAACAAATGGATTAATACTTCAGCATTTATCAATTGGTTGTGTCTCTAAGAGTAGACTCATGAGTTCCCATTCTTTCCTCACTTATTGTGACATTTTTCCCATTCATCTCCGTTATCTCTTCTCTTTGTGGCTGGCTTATGCAGGAGAGCAACCTTCCTGAGCAATGGGTACAAATAATGATCTTCAGTCTTACATATCTTGTTTTCTTTGCACAGCACTAAAACAGGATGAACAGAGTTTTGAGATCAAGTGAAGGAATTTGTTTTCAATTTTTTGCATGGTTTACTACCATGCTTCATCTACACAAAAGAAACTTCCTAGAATTTTCAGTAACTACAAAAAATCTTAAAATATATTCAATGATTCATCACATATTTTCCATCTTAATTAGACTGTTACTCTGAAGGCAAAAGTAATTGTCATGGCAGAAGCCATCATAACCTGGTTATATCACAACCTGGCCAAATTCAAAGAGCACACAGTGAACTTATTGCTGATTCTTCAATCAACCTGAGACTTATACAATATTCATTTAAAGGGCTATAATAGTGTCATCATTGAATGTAGTTGAATTTTGTATGAGCATGTAGAGCCCTTGTGTTTCTCCTTTTGCCAAGATACCCACTGCCGCTCACCACTCACATTTGGTAGTCAGTTTTGTGTTTTCCTATGGGCTCAAGGAGTCCTCAAACATTTGCTCTTCTTAAAAAAGTCTCATGTTTCCTCTTGTTCTACAAGTAGTGACTGTGCATAAGATTTTTTAAGGTTTTTGATCCTTAATGAAGTGGCTTGCGTTAGACATGTGACCTTACTCAGCAGGAGTTTTGGGTTTTAGCTCTGGTCACTGAAAGAAATGGGCCAGTAGAAACAGCTACTCATTCCTGCATGAGAAATACTAGACTACTCTTGAGCAGGCCCTACATTCATACATAATTTTTCAGTGTCCATCATGTTTGCTTCAGGCATGTTACTGCTGCAGCAACTTGATACTATTACACAACTGCTCAGAATGACATCAGGAACTTTAGAAGGTAAGGACACATTACTCAGAAAAGTCCCTGGTCCAGTATTACCAACCCACAAACAATACTAAGATTGGGTACTAACCTAGCACTGCATGGAATTTAAACCTCTGTGGACTACCACGCCATCTTCCTGGATTTCTATGTTGTGCAGAACTATTACTTTTCTCAGTCATCTTACACTTTCTAAGTAAGCTCATCTTTTGCAGAAATCCAGTTTCCGCTTCAGAGAACATCAACAACAGACTCTGCAAGTCTCCTTGAATTTTTTCTTCCAGTGTTTCTTGTCAATCACATATTTTAAAATATGCATTTTACTTTACACTGTGTGAATCTAATCTTCCATTAGCCTCCAGCAACTGGGGTTTTTTTATGTCTTCTTTATATTGAAAGGTATTTAGAGTTTTTTCTCTACAATCAAATCACCATTCCATTAATTT